TAAAAAACACTATTACCCGCTGAATGATGAAGCCACGCCCTCCAGCGTAGCAACAGTCAACATTGCTTAACGACGGGTGAAATTCAAAAAAAATATTGACTGCACAGAATTTATGAGCGCAAGGTATTTGCATAAAACATTCAGTTTCATATACATGTAAATATTGCATGTACATTGTAGTTGAGTGTAACATTAAAAATCCCCCCCCCCCCCCAAAAAAAAAACATTGTCAACTTCAGTGCAATATAATTATATTATACTGAATGTTTTATACAAGTATTTTGTATAAGAAGATCGTTGTGTAGATATTTTCAATAAGAGAAAATAAAAAATAAAATCAGCCTTCCCGCCCCAATTTTTAAGCAAATTAGGACGAAAATGTAATGTTGAATTCATGCCAAAAAACTGAATGTCAAGGTTGACATTTTTCTTTCTCCATCTGAAAATTTTTTCCATTTCTTCCACGTCTTCCAGGCGCTAATCCAGGAATTTTTTTCAGTCAAAGAAATTCCAACCCAGAAATTCCATGACAAGTAAAATAATTATTTTTATCATTATTATTATTACATGTATTATTGTTAGTTTTATAATAAATTAAAAATCTAAACTCTTTTCTCAAACGTATCCAACCCAGGAAATTTCTTGATGAGCAAAAAAACATCTAAACTCATTTCTTAACCGTGAAAAACCTTCTCAACCATGTTTTCGGGGGGTGGGATGGGGGGTCCAAAGTCATATTTTATTTGCTTCATTATATGCATTTTTAAAATAACTCTGCAAATCCATAGGGGGCTGACTCCTCCCCCCCCCCTCTAGATCCGCACATGCTCTTCTTTTTTCCTTCAGTATGGGACACAAATTCTATGAAATAGCTTGATTAATTTAGTATTGATGCAAAAACTAGCATGGTAAAATTAATCTTTGGATTGTACCTGAAGATGACTTTTTTCTAAAATATATTATTCATTACATTCTTAATTTTGAACACCGATAGTTTTAACCATTTTGAAACTTATAGTTTAGTTTCTTGATATTAACATTAAGGAGGCTGGGGGGGGGGGGTCAACAAATTAACCATCAGATACAACTTATTTTTTTAGATATGATATCTTAAGCTGTCAACTATCATTTGGCAAACAAAAATTCATACATTTTAGTTTTAAAATTTGATCATTTTTGTATATCTTTATATGGAGCTCTTCTTCTAAAGGAGATCAATATACAAATGTAGTCTGAAAATGGCCACAACCACCCAGCCCTCCTAATGCTTTTGAACATCACCAGACTTTTGAATCTTGATTCTTGTCAACTGGAGAAAAAATTATCAAACAATGTTTACTAAATCATTCAAAGTAAATAGCAAGAGTCAACTGCCAAATTGATGCTACTAGTATTACCTTCATGCATACGCATCAATCTGTAAAAGATTAAGATGAAAATGTAGCAACCATTACGACAAATGAAGTAGACATAATTTGAACTAGGCAGAGTTCTGACAAGCATGGGAATAAATTGGAAGGTGCTAGAACTTTGAGCTGTAATTTTCAGAATATTGATATTTTTATTACTAATTGAACTAATTAAATCAGTAGTTTATTTGTATTCCTTGATTTCTATTATACCTGTACCTTTACTGCAGCTTTATTTGTATATAACCCGGTACTTGCATTCTTGTTTCATTTTCCCTCTGCAAGAGTGATATACTTGTACTGTTTCTCAGCAACAATAGGACCATCTGCATTTGTTAAAATCTTTTGAGTTTCATTGTTTTAGTTCACCACTGTTTTGCATGATAAAGTTTCGGATTACTATGAAAAATAAACTATTCCAATTTACATTGCAGGTGTTGCGGTTATCCGTAACCGTAAATGTTCTTTTTTCGATTGTTTAATTGATATTCCTTTTCATTTTGCTGGCTCGCTGGCTTAGTGCATCTTTGAATCAATAACTTGTTAACTGAGAATAGACAATCCTTAGAGTTTGAGGTGTAATTTAGGTAGAAAAAGGTTCTATGCTATTATTGCCATTGTATCATCCTGATTATGGGGATAATAAATTTATGATTAATTAGAGTTCTTTTTGATTTAATTACTGTTTTGAATTCCTGGTATTGGTGAAAAAGCAGCATTAAACCACTTCTATGCAAGCTTGATACTATAGGTAGCATCCACAGGTGCTTGTGGACAGCCCCCCCCCCCCCTCCGGAATATACACCCTGGGTCCAAGGATATTTTTTTCGTCTTTTTCCATAAATTAATCTTCTAGTACACATCTACAATGTATTCCATATGAAAAATAAAAAATAAAGTGGAATTAACGTTTTATTAAAAAATCATACCCGCGGTATCATGAAATAGATTTTGATTCTGCTGCTTTGTGTATAATTTTTTTATCTCTTTTGAAATGTAAAGGTCTTTTGATTTTTGTATCACCTTTGATACAGATTTTCAATGCTATTTCAAGACAAATGAATGCAGACGTCTGTTTGATTGGATGTTCCGAAAACACTGTCATACGAAACAGTGTCTTTATTATGTACATTCAACGAAAGATAACCCATGTTGACTCTTTCTGGAATGTACTGGCAGAGGAAAATTGTGAGCAGTTACAAATGTTTATGTAACTTAAACCATATAATAAACTATTATTTTAGTATCAAATATCTATTTATTTGTTCTTTTAATGTACGAAAATTGTTCCATTTTATATATTATCTTGATTTTAATCTGGACCTCTGAAGAGATGGACCTTAGTACGTACTTCTTGAAATGACATGTGCTATCAATACCGCCGAAACACTCCTAATTACTAGTATTTGAGATATGTATATGTAAGCAATTGACCAAAGGCTTCATTAAGGGTGTTGGGTTCTAATAAGTTTGCCATTTCTGGTTGTTTAGATGCACTTGTTTTACAACACTTAAAAAATGTTCATCCGTATCCCACCCAACCCCCCAACCCCCAAAATAAAAGAAACAAAACAAAACAAACAAGGAAACAAGAAACAAATTGGGTTCTTTTCTATAGATACATGTAAGACCTTACTTTTCTCCTCCAGCGTTTACAGCATCTTCCATATAGTCTTTTGGATGCAAAACAGAACCGGTGTCATGGGGAGAGGGGATTAAAAAAACTTTTCAACACCATATATGGACTTTCTAAAGAGGTTATCACTGGGGTACTTAATCTTGGACATTTATAACCTATATCTATAATCTAACCTATAGCTTACTGGTCTTCATTAGGAATAATCGACCATGCAGTTCCATGCAAACGATATGTGTTTGTTAAACACAAATACCCTAAACATGACCAAGTTGTGATATCATATTTTGAGAATATATAGATAGAGATACATTTATTTTGTTTACAGTGATTTGTTAAATTAAATGACCTGCTATTAGTCAAACCAGTTACCTTGTAACCTACTTACACTTTTTGTTAAGTTATAAGCAGGATATTCTTAATTCAATATTCACAATGATGACTAATATGAATCTAAAATCCACTTGCAACATCAGTATGACAACTACTAATCAGTGATGATGACATTTGAAAGAAGTAATACTATGTGTTTAATAGTCTAGTTCTGTTCAAAGGTCGGGATGATCCAGACTAGTACTTGACGTGCGATGTCGATCGAGTTATTAATCTCGGACAGAGAGACGAACACAGGGTCTAAATAGTTGCATAGTGTGCCAATCTTGGGGAGTCTATCTCTTACAGCTCAAAAGTTAATATCTAAGTTAATCAAATATTAAAGTTTTCACAGACAGACAGATTGCAGGAGGTCCAGGTATTTTTTTTTTATTGGACTTTTGATGGTTACTATTCGTTATCTTCACATTTCATCTTTAGTTGAATTATCTTTTATCTCGTTATTTCAACTTTCTTGAGTTGTATTTATTTAACATTTCTTAACATTCATACTACGACTTTTTATTTCTAAATAAAAACTTTTTTTTTCTTCCATCTTCCTAAATTGACCCTACTAAGATCCTGAGTGAAAATTTTTAACATTAAAAATAACTTTTTAAAGTCATTATTGTTTAAGCCAAATAAGTGCACTTATTTGGCTTAAACATATCGTTCCGAAATATTAGGAGTGGAAATGATAGCGTTCGCATTGAAGCTGGTGTGTGTCTAATTGAAGCAAAATGTTGGTGTAACCTACTTACATAACCTACGTACTAAATAGTAAGACTATATTCCTCCGCCAAACCCGATACAGGGGCCCGTTTTACAAAAGAACTTACCACGAAGACCAAAATTTAATTTTGCTTATATCTTTTTAATTTACATTATATTGAAAATGGTTTTAATCTTTTTAAAAGGAATGTACTCGTAGTAATATATTTATACGCTAGCAATTTTAAACAGAATGACTGGTTTTGCAAAACTTTACAATCAACTTAAGTTTTTGGTCTTAGTCGTAATTTCTTTTGTAAAACGGGCCCCAGGACGTTTTACTGGTAGATTATGAATTCGAGTCAAAATTAAGCACATACTTTCTTGTGCTATTTTGTCTTTGTTCACGTTGTAGAATTGTAGAGTGACCAACCAAACAAAAAGATTCCAATATGATCGATTTTAAATTGTACCAAGCCAAACCTTATTCTCAAATTTCCACATCATTGAAATTTGAAAATATTTTGTGGATAGACAGCAAAAAGAGATATATACGCGTGTAAAATACATTAACTTCATCAAAATTTATTGGTGAAAAAAAATAAAGACAACTTTTGCCATCTTTTATGATGTTGCTTAGAGTCATTACGGAGAATTCTGTCTTGTCAAGTACATATACTAATATCGTTTTATGAACTACAAAACGTGATTCTAATAATCTGATATCCAATGAACAAATTAATTTAACCGATCTTCATAAAGGTATCACTTTAAACTTTTTAAATTTAAACTCTGCCTTTTAGGCACAATATATCATCTATAAACAAAAACAAACAAATTATTTTAAAAAAAAAAATGCATAGCACCTCAACAATTTATATAAAAAAAGTGTTATAAGAAACTTATCACAGAAAATCCAATATTTCAAGTCACATGCAGAGTTAAGTACTTTCTTCTTTACCACTGTATCACGTAATAATAGCGGGCAAGAAAGGGAGGGATAGACACCTTCTCCAGGTACATATTGGAGCAAAGCTGGCGGGCAATCTGCAATTTTTAATCAAAAATACCATGTTAATGAACAACTAATCCAAGTGCTGCCAGGGATCAAAATATTTTTAGAAGAGATTTCCAAAGACGATAAATGGAAGTTTATTTACCACAAAGCTGGTGGCAGTGCATTCCACAAAAATCCCCGATTTCGTTCCTCCTAACATTGCATCTCCTTTAAAGTAGGAGACTGGAGAATACTTTGGAATGGACCTACAGTCACTCATTATCTGGAAATAAAATGTTATTTTATTTTCAAACTTTCAGAAGATGACGAAATCTTGGACATAAATATATATGAAGCCCTTTTGCATTTCAAAAATACAAAAATCATAGCATAGCGTATGAAGGTGTACAATCGTTTTAAGAATTTATCATTAAAAGTTGTAGCAGATAAATTATTAAATAATTGAGATAAAACTTTTATCACAAGCCATGCTCACATGCGCTTGACGTTTCCATTTGTTGACTTCCGGTGCTTTGCAGTATGCCATAACGACACCCTCTTCGTCTGCAATGGCGGAGTTGGGACAATGTCGAGAATCGGCATTGAATACTGTGGACATCTGAGCGATACCAATCTCAAGTCGAACTCCGTCACATGTACCTAAGTATGTTTGATAAAAGCTAGCACTGTCAATTTAAAAGTTTCTTTTTTATGCAAAAGTGTTCCTGATAGTGTATTGATAAACAGCCATGGCTATAAAGATTTACATTTTAAACATTAAAAAAATACTTGCAATTGTTATTAGTTATTAATTCAGGGAAAAAAAATATTTACTTGTTTGAATCGGTTGTGGAGGCGCTGTTGGCAGAGTAACCCAGATAATCGGTCGTTTTGTTGGTTGTGGGGTTGAATGAGAAGCTGGCGTAGGGAGAACCAAGCCTAATATAAACAACAAAGTTCAAATCTGTCAAATACAAAGGATTCTTATTCGTTTTCCACTTAAACGTCACCAGAAATGTTTATTCCGAGTCCAAGTACTAAGTACATACTTTCTTCAGCAAATTATATTAAATCAGTTACAAGCATCATCTTTGATTAAATTCAATGAATTCTTACCCCCCCCCCCCCCCCCAACAAAAAATGATTAAAAAAGTGGATTTTTAAATGAATGTGCACGTGTACTTAAGTAGAAAGTTTTATTTCAGGAGAAAGAGCAAACCTCACAGAAAAAAAAAATTATTAAAAAAAGATGCCACTTTTCATATCCTGTTCATAGACATGTTTTAGATTACATGTAATTTCATTTTCTACCTGGTATGGTTCCAATGTGATGAACACACTGGCTGGACTTCACTATATTTTCTGAAAGGTACAACAGAAAAAAAATTTCAAAAGCCATGTTATAAGCTGCAAATAACTAGTATCAGGAAAGATACAGCTTTTAAATATTTGAACATATGCCATGCTATCCATTGCGCATCTATTGCATATGAACCCTGATTTTTCTTATTTTCGCAGGAAAAAGTGTAACACGTACATGTATACATGTATATTTGCTTTTCTGTATAATCAATATATAGACACAACAATTAAAATATATTATAGAAAACTACAAGTAAATACATACGGACGTTGAATGAAAGGCTTCCAGGACACTGCATGTCTAGAAATCCTGAATCTTTTTGCATATAGCCAAGCTAAAAGGAAGAAAAAACATTCTGTCTGCTTCATTTGTAAAACTCTTTTGTACTGCACCTGATAAAGATAATACTGAATTTTTAAATACAGTAAAACTCGCTCAGGGGCTGACAAATCCCATTGCCCGACGCCCGGGGCTAGTGAATTTTAGGAGAGGGAAAGTGAAATTTTATCAACCACTTGCCCGTGGGCAAGTGACTTTTAAAAATTAAATAAATATTTAAGTCATAGATTTAATTTTGGGCACAGAGGATTGCATGTTCTACTCAGTATTTTCCTTGCTTTTTTTTTAATATATATAAATTAGTTTATGATTGGGCAAGCAAAAATTCAGGTAGGGCAAGTGAATTTTCACCATACACTTGCCCTTGGACAAGTGCCTAAAAAATCTATTTGTCAGCCCCTGTCGCTTATAAGGTACTCCGATAAAAGGATATGTTGTTTATAAGAAAGTCTTTCCCCCGTCCCTCATATAATATAACACTTTCTTATTTATATGAATAGGGAAAAAATCGATAATTGTCCTCAGGACTTCCTCATCAGCAAGTTTATACTGTATTGATTGAATAACAAGTGATAATATAAGCAATAATCAACCTTATTTATACAATGAGAGATGATCTAGTCAAAAATATAAGATTTATCTCAAACATTATAAGGAAATACTACATAGAGGGACGTGAAGTTCTTACCCTGTTTACATTGTCACTGTTGTAATAAATGGCTACCCAACCATCCGGAGCCTGCGCATTAAAGGCAGCTACACAATGGGGAGAAGACAGATCCACGTAATGGTCAGTGTTTTCTGGAGGATAGATGATTCCAATCAGCTTACTGGTCTGGCTAGGACATTCGTACAAATAGGACCCGTATGGGTGCAAAAAGTTACAGAAGCACAGAAAATTTGCTGATGCTTTCTGCAAAAAGGCTGCAGCAAACAGGAATACAATTTTCATTTTCATTTCGAATGTTTGTGCATGCAGTTCCGAAAAGTCTTTTCTATTTAAAGAGACGACAGGCTTAAGATAGCTCACTTAAGATTTGTTACTAAACTTCAACCTGGATTTTCTTAATCTTAAGTAACGTCAGACGAGACTTCAAAAGGGAACAACGGAAGTAGATTTGGAATCTTGATTAAGAATTTACACTAAGATACGGACTTAATCTTGACCTTCCATCACTTAAAATTTTCATCTAGACAAACCGACTCCTATGTGTCATTGACTTTTTAAATACAAAATTCCCCTGAAATTTCCGTATAAATCATGATTACCAGTTTACTGTTGATCTAGGAAAAGATGGACCTAAGAGAATGCAGACACACCTACTTCCACACATAACCAGTAACGTTTCTGTTCACTTTTGAAAAGCAGTAAAGATACATACAAATATTCTCTACAGGTGCTATCTTTTTTTTTTTATATATAATATTTATCAGTACTTAGCCACAGAAATGGCGAAATTACCCTCACTGCTGTACCAAAGTATCACATACGTATTTTTGTTTGTCATAAGTAAAGTTAAAATGTATTGCACACACCTTCTGCTGTTGACTCCTGTATTGCAGAAGTCAAAGACAAATCAATTCTGGAAATTCTTTTCAAACGTACAATGAACACTTATATGAAAAATGTTGATAAAGGTATGCTTTGTATTCATTATAACATTATAAAAACATAGCTTAAAATGAAAAGAAAAAAGATACATGTACATTTATTAATTATGGATTTAAAATAAGAACTGTATATTTGGATAATTTTGTACTTTTTCATGATTAAAAATCTAGCCAAATCTTACATCGGAAATACTACAATGAAAAATACTTTGAAATTCCGCATCAGCAATTTCTTGTTAATTTTCTCCAAAATACAGATAAAAGAAATCCTGTCTCACGAGTGGTTGAGACGTAATAGCTAAGCGATTGAGAGATTGAAAAACGTTGTAAACATGGATTTTTAACAACATATTTAGTGAAACTTTGGCAGTTTTAGTCTATGTCAGGATGGTTCATTTACTCTCTCTATCTTTTAATAGGTCAGGGAGTTTAAAAAAACTCTGCATGAAGGGAAGGAAAATCGAGAGTTTTGCCGCACTTCTGATATTCTCTCACACTGTGAGAATACCAATTAGATATCCTTTCAAAATGTGTCAAAATATCACTTTTATTCAATAAATAAATTACAGTATTTCACTGTTGAAAATGTTATGAACATGCAAATATTAATATTCTGATGAGTCACCTATCAATTCTCACAAGCATTGCCTTTAATGGAGGTTTCTGACCAATCTGCAAGCGATATCTTTTGAGTTTAATAATGGGGTAAGGTTTTGTTATTGCGAAGTCTTGTTGGTCTTATGTTAACTAACAACATAAACTGTGTCGAGTATTTTGAAAACGTTATCAAACTAATGGATAGTTTATCATTAGGTCGACCTCAACAACAAGAAAATGATTAAGGTAAGGAATTATATGAAAGCCAGTAACAGGTTAAAAAAAAGAAATAGGATTTTTTGTCTTTGTCAGATACAACTGCTTATCCGTTAAAAGAGTTTTTCATCCAGGAGTTCTCATAGAAATACGGATTCTGAGAGAAAGTGACAGATCCAAATCAGTATTCAAGGTAAGCCACATTTGGTTTTAAAAAGACATTCAAGTGAATTTTGTTGCACTGAATGTTTTTTTTTTTTTTTTTACAACAAATTGAAACCAGTACATCAATTTGACACACGATTAAATCGACTGTAATTCAATGAAAATGTCAAAAAAGTAAACTGTATGTTTATGTTTTCAGATGTTACTGCTTCACGTGTTCATATTTCTGTCGGTGTGTATCGGTATCAGTAGCGCACTCTTGGGGCATCATCGCCATACAACGCACCACACGACCGTCGTAACTAACCCAACGGGAGCTTCGGCACGACCGACAACTCCAGCACCAACACGATCGACAACTGCCCAAGCAAAACATGCGTGTATTTGCAATACGAACCATCCTCAATTAGACATTTTTCAATGCCCTGACACTAAAAGTCAGATTATTGGGTTCCTGTATCTACAGGATTCTCCCTACTCAACGGATTTAAGTACTAGCCATTGCAAAGAGTTAGCGTCATTTGTTGTGTCGCATGATGGCTGGTTTCCAGTAATTCACTTTGGCCAGGTTTGGAAGTTTCTGCAACTTATAATCTTTTTAAACATGTTATATAAAAGCTTCATTGTTAACCGAGGGGTGAAAATATACGTGGAGTGAAATACATGCAATGAAAATGCAAGCAGTAGTTATATGATATTCCATATATCAAAAGAATGAAAAACAAGCTCTTACAACTTACCATTCTTGTCCTTAGATAATATCATGTATCATGCAGGTCAAATAATAGAAAATGGATCTTTCAAACAATACAAGTTATACAAATTGAACACAGGTAGATGTAGGTAACGCAACAACCACGAGAATCTTCAGTATTGACAGCAGCAAAAATATGATGAATTTTACATCACTCCATAATAAATAGTGACTAATTCATACATTTAAGTTATAGTTCATACATGTAACTCACTATTAAATTAGTACTTGTCAAGTATATTCGAATATGCGTACGCGTGCAAATTCTGCAACGTGTTGTAGCCCCCTCTAAAACAGAGAAACATTTGCGCGCTCTCTCTCTCTCTCATACGCTTGTTACGAATTAAATCTAATGATTCCTTGGTCTTTCTTGCAACACAGGTCGGCTACGTAAGAAGAGATGCCGGGACGAGCGTGGAAAAGTGTCCAGGACCCATGACTTCTGCTAAAGGTAGGAAGAAAGGGAGAACTTGCACGACATATTTTATTGTAGACTATAGGCCCTTTGCAATTTTACCATGGCATGGCATCTTTGCTAGCAAAGTAGTAGGGTAGATTTCGGATCGGAAACCCTTGGCTAGCGAAGATGATGGCATGGAGGACTTCTTTAACTTGATGAAATTTCTACTTTTTTGTAGGTTTTCAGGCGAAACCATGCCAGTTGTTCTTTTTTCTATCAAGCAGCACAGGTTAGGGTCTCTGAAGACAGAGCATTTTGTACATTTTTAGCTCTACTGGTCAAAGACCAGAAGAGCTTATGCGATAGTAAGGTGTCGTCCGTCCGTCTGTCTGTCTGTCCGTCTGTTTGTAAACAATTTTTCAAAATGCTACTCCTCCTACACTTTTGGTCTCATTTCATTATAACTTGGCATACAAGTAGACTACACTAAGATACACAACTTAGTGCATCGGTGTTTGATTTTGTTGAGTGGTGTTGCCATGGTTACTAAAAATAGAAATTTCTGTGAAATTTCTTTAAAACGCTACTCCTCCTACAGTTCTGGTTTAATTTCATTATAACTTGGCACACAAGTAGACTACACTAAGACACATAACTAAGTGCATCGGCTTATGATTTTGTTGAAGGGTATTGCCATGGTCACTAAAAATAGAAATTTCTGTGAAATACTAAAAATTTCTTTAAAACGCTACTTCTCCTACAGTTTTGGTTTGATTTTAATATAACTTGGCACACAAGTAGACTACACCAAGATACATAACTAAGTGCATCGTTTTTTGTTTTTTTTGTTTTTTTTTTTGTTTTTTTTTTTTTGTTTTTTTTTGATTTTGTTGAAAGGTGTTGCAATGATTACTAAAAATAGAAATTTCTGTGAAATTCCTTTAAAACACTACTTCTCCTACAGTTTTGGTTTGATTTCAGTATAGCTTGGCACACAAGTAGACAGCACTAAAATACATTATTCAGTGCATTGGTTTTTGATTTTAGAGAACAGTGTTGCCATGGTTACTAAACATAGAAATTTCGGTGAAATACTTTCAAAATGCTACTCCTTCTATACTTTTGCTGTAATTTCAGTGTAACTTGGCATGCAAATGAGTACACTGAGATATCAGGGTTTTTTTTTTATTTTGATGTATGCCATCATGTTGCCATGGTTACTAAAAGCAAAATTTCTGAAAAAAGTCCTTTAAAAGGTTACTCTTCCTACAGTTTTAGTCTGATTGCAATAAATTTTGCTACAAAAAGAGACTAAACCAAGGATCATTACTCTATTTATTGCAAAGTTTCAAGCCCAAGTGCTACTTTTCCTTTGTTATAAGTACAAACCAGTAGAGCTACAGTCTCATCAGAGACTTCTGGTCTCTATTGTTTTCGTAAAAGTTTATTAGTCTCTTTTGTCAAGTAAAATTAAGACATATTTCGGCCACGCAACCTTCGCCACATTAATTTAAAACTAAGTCAATTATTTTTTGCTTCATTTTTATTTCACAGAGCTAAAATTCTGATCAGCGTGTCCGGTGTCCGTCTACGTTCGTAAACTTTAACCAAAACGCCAATTAAACATTGAAGGACCACACCCTCTTTCAAGGGGAGATAATTAAGAAATAGTGAAATGTGGTGGAGTTTAAAAACTTTCTTCTCAAGAACAACCTGGCCAGAAAAAATAAAATCTTCATGACATTGTCTATCTTATTCAAATCATGGCCCTTGCAGGTAGAGTGGGTCCAGAATAGGGAATCAGAGTTTAATATTGGAATATATAGGGAAAAATGTATAAATATCTTATCAAAAACAGAATGTTCTGATATGATTAGTGATGTTAAGATGCAAGCATCCCCAGATGGTACAGATTCAGGGGTTTTTTTTCAAATCATTGCCTCTTCAGTGCCTCAGTAAGAGATCAGTTTTTTACATGGGGATGTAAACGAAAAAAAAATGTTTTAAAATCGTCTTCCTTAGGACAACATGGTCATTATTAGTCCATGAATTTGTACGCATCCTTATCTAATGCAGATTCAATCAAACCATGACCCCACGGAAGCAAGGCGCGGATACAGTATGAGAATAAAAAGGATTTTTTTTTTTAAAAGGGACATAATTCAATCGTATTTATATGAATACATTCCAAAGTTGTTTGGAATCTTTTTTTTTTTCAAATTTGGGACCCTGAAGTTAGAGTATGGCTAAAATTGACGATCAAATTTCACCTGATGTACTCGTACATGTATGTATACATATTTTTTCTTCTCCAAGATTTAGTATTTGAAATTGATTGAATCCACGCAGCATGGGAATATTAGTCTTTTACTATGATTTAATACGACCCTGCTTCTCGAGAAAAGATGTTTTTATAATATTTATACATGTATATTAGTCTCTCTGCTGGTCGGAGATTAAGGGTATAGCCGAGCGTCTGGTTGTAATTTCTCACAGAAAACTTTGAACCCCATTTTAGCCTAACCTTTATACCAGGTGCATTGATTTCAGTAAATATGCATCTGCACTATACATTTTGATACCAATCATGACCAAGTAATTTTTTATGACCCCCTTGAAAAAGTGGCATATTGCTTTGCACTTGTCGGTCGGAATGTCGGTAGACAAAGTGTTAATGTCTGCTCAATATCTTGAGAACCCTATGCTTGACAGATATCCCTGGTACACTAGTACCCCCTGAAGAGTTGATTTTCAGGTCACAAGGTCAGAGATCAGGGGAAAAAATACTCTAGACATAGGAAAAACTTGTCCATTCAATATCTTGAGAACTATTTTCCATGACAGACATCAAACTGAGTACATTGGTTTACCTTGAGCAGGCCTGTAGGAAGCAATTTCACTTTGAGGGGGCACAATCATACATTTTCAGTTGAGGGGGCACTATGGACTAACAAAATTCCTTGATAAGGAAAAAAAAAAAAAAAAAAAAAAAAAAAAAGGTCATCAGACGTTATTAATGAGGGGGCACAAGCATGTAGTAGCTATGTTTTCTATAGTATTCTATATATCGGCAAAATTATTCCTACGGCCATGTTGAGGAATAAATGATCCTTATTAACTTTATAATCACAGAGTCAAAGGTCAAGGGTCAAACTGAACATAGGAAGAAAAAGACCGCTCAATATCTTGAGAATCCCTCGCTAGATAGACATCAATCTTGGTACACTGGTTCCCATTGAGGAGTAGATGGTCACTGTAAATTTGATATCACTAGGTCAAAGGTCAAGGATTAAATTGGACATAGCTATATATAGACCCACTCAATATCTTGAGAACCCTTTGCTTAACAGACATCAAACTTGTAAAGTTTACACTGGTTCATTTTCATGAATAGATAACCCCTATTGATTTTGAAGTCACGTGGTCAAAGGCCAAGGATAAATTGGACATAGGAATTATATATTGAATTTCTCGAGAAATTTTTGCTTGACAGACATCACACATTCCGCTGAGGAGTAGTTGAACATTACTGATTTTGAGGTCACAAGGTCAACGGTCAAACTGGACATAGAAATAGATTGACCACTCAATATCTTGAAAATCCTCTGCTTGACAAACATCAAACTTGGTACACTAGTTTTCCTTTAGGAGATGACCCCTATAGCTTATGAGGTCACAAGGTCAAGAGTCAAAGTGAACATTATACAGTTGTTGACTAGGTATGACGGCAACGTATGATTTGATGGACCTGAAGGTGAAAATGTTGCCCGAGGCCGCAGGCTGGGATGTTGCCCGAATCCTAGTCTATAACTGTTTTGTTATACCCTTCACTTCAGATAGAGTAACTAAAATGAAAACAATTGAACAGATTTAATCAATATATAATCAATTACTAGTACTTTCTTTGGAAAATTTTGGTTTGATCAACAAAAATAAAACAATAGCAGAGAATGAAAATATTAATAATTATAAAATCATTATAGCACAAAAATTACTTATCACAAAACATACTCTTTCAAATAGCACACAACAACTCTTGCAGCTCTAAACTTCGGCTACTAGTATTTCCGTGTCGCCAGTATTGAACGACGATTAAATACTTGTGACGTAGCGGTCTAACAGTTCTTTTGTTGGACTGGCAGGCTGGACAACAATGAAATTGTGAGACCAATGCAATAAGCACTTCTTTTGTTGGACTTTTTATTAGTAATAAATATACAGAGAGATATTTATAAGGGTATAACAAAGGAAGATATTGACCGTTCCATATCTTGAGAACAATTTGCTTGACAGACATTAAACTTTGAACGCTGGTTCCCTCTCAGAAGAAGATGGCCCCTTTTGATTTCAAAGGTCAAGGATCAAAAAAACATAGACACTAGATATACAATGTAGGAAGGTATTGCCAATTCAGTTTCCTGAGAACCATTTGCTTTAGACATCAATTTTGGTACACTGGTACTCTTTAAGAAGTATATTACTCCAAATGATATTTGGATCTGTTAGAGGTCAAACTTAGTATTATGTTTGCCCCTGACTAGAAGATGACCAATTGTTTTCGCTATCATTACAGACATCCTAAATTGAAAATTGTCCCCTTTCTAAAATTGCCACATATGTGTTTCTCAAACATTGTTTTAAGTTTCTGCCTATATATTTCCAACCTAAATTTTGATTCCCAATTTTGGCACAACCTTAAAACCGAGGCTATGATTCTTTCCATCTTGAATCTGCACAACCTGAGGATGCTTGCATGAAAATGTGAGTAATCATGCCCTGTTTATATCTTTGTTATACCTTTCATGGTACATGCAATTACATGACCCTTTTCGAAATGGTTATGTATTGCTCATATTATGTATCTGAGCCCAATTTTCTTTCCCTAAAGTACCGAGCAGCAATTCAACTCATGCTATGCCATCAACTACTCCTAAACTACTGACTACAACGACAACTGCTAAAAGGCATACTAGTGTTTCTACCACTATGAAAGGGCCAGTTATGTCAACTTCCACGACCAAAGGACCAGCAATGTCATCTAGTACTACTGCTAGACATACTACTATTTCTACCAGTACTAAAAGACCAGCTATGTCAACTTCATCGACAGGAGGTTGTAGTTTGCGTTAATCTTCTTGAATCTTAAGATCAACTTATTTTGCAAAGCATACGAAAATATACAGTTACTTTCCTGTTTCAGTGGACCGCGTTTGCAATAGCCTTGAAACTATCCTGGAACTTGGGAAACACGAACCAGTTTATCACGGGCATGCGCGACAATGCCCAGGGGGCGACTCTAAGAACGAAGCTGTTGTAATGAAATTCTGTTATGCCCCAGATTCTTCAACATGGATCCAAGGAAGACGGGTAAAACAAAAATAAAAACAACACAAAAACCAAAAAAAGTACAACGACAACACGAAACAAAAACAAAGAAATTAAACAAAAAACAAGACGACTGACCATAATATTCTAGGGCATCCATAATCTTTAAAACATTGAAATGTTATATATGTAACCAAACAGTATGCTGTCAAATTATAAAAGATCAATTTAAATATGGTATGTATCATCAAATTGTTACGGCTTTGAATTCATAGGTAAATAATATTTTCTCAAGGATAAAAAATTAACTAATCTTAAACTATAAAGTAATGCCAATTTTCTCTACAGGTACTGGATCATTGTTCCGACATTCCACCCTACACACCTGTTAATATGTATGGATTTGGCTCAAACATGCTAATATCTGGGATATTTATTAAATGTACCAATGCCACATCATTTTCGGTAAAAAATTTTTCAAAGTCCCTCTGCGTGTAGTGCTTTTTATAGCAATGGTTAAAACTAAAATATATTGTTAAAACGTGATTAAATTCAGAAAGTATTATAATATTTTTCTTCCTAATTCCTGTTTTGTTAAGTCTATGTCAATGTATTTATACTGAGAAATGTATTTCTGAATTGATTTTTCCCAACAGATTATTCATCAAAAGGATTGTTCTGGCGGACTCCACCTAGAAACCGTTAACGTGTTGACAGGCTCTGGGATGTTTTATGTCATCCACTGGTGATGAAATTGTTGAAGGTCATTCATGTTTTTAATAAAAATTTCTGTTAACCGTTTTCTGTATCTTTATTAACAAGTTCAAATAGTGTTTCTGCATGATATTGAAATATCGAGTTGTCTTTCTTTCTGCACATTTCTAATGCATCAGTGCAGTCGGGTCAGATTCGGGAGTTCGTTGGGTGAGTTTCGCACCCCCTCTTTTCTCTAGAAAATATTATTTTTGAAACAAAAGAAGTTCAATATTTATCTGTTGAAAGTAAATAAAGCTCTAGATTAAGTTTGTTTCCTTAATTTTCGAAAAAAAGGCACCAGAACTCACCACAGTGATACCAGTTTATAAAAGTTTTATGGCTTAGAGTATGAAGTACCCCTCCCAATCCCTTTCCCGTACACTGGCCCATTTCGAGAAACCTGTGTCTGGACAGACACATATGTTAAGGTAAACTGAAAAAATAACCTGATTACGGTCATAGGCTAAATGGGGGGAAAGTGAGATTTTTTTTTCATATCTTCTTATGTTTTATTGCTTTTTGATTCAAATTAATTTGTTACGTAGTAAAATTAATTTGTTACGTGGTTATATTAATTATGTTTATTTCAGAGGGATCTCGTTTATTTTATGTTATTGTATGAACAACTGGCAAAAAAAATGGATGCTATTATGACTGCATAGGTCCGGGGTCCGCATTAAGGCATTTAGTGAGAACTACTCAAGGTAGATAAATGACATTTCAGTCGTAAATTCATATTTAAATTTTATGTACGACTCACAGGCGCTTGACGTTTTTAACCTTTCTTTCCATAAATAAAAAATCCCCCATACTATAAAGGTTTGTCACGGTCGCCATCTTGAATTTTTCAGTTCAGCTACTTCGCCTCGATTTTTAGTCTACAATGGGTTTAAAATTAACGGATACAACAGTTTCCCTCAAGTACTTACTTTAACTATGCCTCCACTTTTGGGCAGTTCAACTCAAATCACATTAAATCCTCTCCAATTCTTAAAATGTCGCTTCAAACTCGGTCTACTGCTACCGATTCCGTAAAACTTAGAAAAGGGAGGCCGGAAGTTGATGTTAGAACGTCACAATCCGGGAAAGCCCTTTTCTGATTGATGGATATCTTGAGAGTTATATTAATATTAACATCTTCGCTAGCCAAGGGTTTCTGATACGCTACTCTCCTCATAAGCCCTTGGCATACTGTGTTAAAAAAAGTTGGGATTTTTTTCTCAAGTTGTGATTGGAGTTGATCGACATCGTTCGACCAGTCAGAAATTGTTTTTTGTAAATGACGATATTTGCGTTCGGGATATATCTTGACTCTTTAATATCGGGAATGAAAAACGCAAGTAAACAACGATCCATAAGATAACATGCCATTCTATGAATAGCTATATGGTGTCATCCAATATCTTAAGCTACATGCAAAATATGTGATTAAGAATCTATACTGAAGAAGTAGATTTGCATTTTAACATGTTTAAATAACAATTAACATAACTTAATACCTTCTTGTTAATTATTCTTTAAAAACATTATGTTTTTAAATACGCTTTTTATTTCTGTCGATGACGCAATCTGTGCGAACCTGGTAAGAATCGTGATCACGTGACGAAAACAATCCCGTCTTTTGTCAGCACCGTATGCCAAGGGAGAAACCTTTGGCTAGCGAAGATGTAATATTAATAGCTGTTTAAAAATGGAGCTTGAGCAGTTCTAGACTACTGGTACGTATTTTATAAATAACTTTGTAATATATATTGATACATCTATAGTCCCCAATTGTTTGCAAATAAATATATATTTAGCCTAAAACTGTGTACTTTTTCAACTGCTATTTAAGAAACACTGAAATATTTAGGCTGAATAGTATACACTGTATTTTACAAACAGAGGCGTAGTTACACACCTGAAAGTAAAGGGGGCTTAAATCCAAATAAAAATTCAATTATATTGTCAAAACATAAAAGCGTTTACAATTTAATTCTGAAATTAAGGGGGGGGGGGGGGTCTGGCAGATTTTGAAAATAAATTTAATTGTCCTTTACTAACATGGAAATAAAGCTGGGGAAAAATTGCCAGCCCAGTCCCCCCCCCTCCGGAATCAATTGGTCCTCCCTTAAAAATAAATGAATGGCAATATAATCTGTGAGGCCACCCGTAAGTCTTAGGCGAAGCCTTGATTGGGGCGGGGGGGGGGGGGAAGCTCCTGGCTTGTACAAATATTTCAATCACATTCTTGCAGGGAATAGCATGGTATTTGGCTTTTCTCATGAAAGACAAGACAGTAATATTGTTTTTAACACGAAGTTTAACTTTCTCGGAAACTTATTGTAAATGTACTTGAGGCATGCAGAATCTTTTACCGCTACATTTGTATCGTCTGCTCTCTGTTATAATATGTATTAATAATGTTCAGCAACAAGTATTTTAAATGTTGGTAGCAGAAATAATTTTAAAATCATATACTACAGTGGCGGATCCAGGAATCTTGAAAAGGGGGGGGGGGCGACCAGTTTGGGGTCAGGGTAGGGGCTCACAGCCACATACACAAAAATTGCTTTATTAAATCTTATGTATATTTTGGACACATAGGGAGGGGCGGGTCCCCTGCCCCCTCTAAATCCGCCAGTAAACTATTTGATCAAGGTCTTATAGAATTATTAATGTGTTATAGAACACTTACTATAGATTAATGATTAATTTGGATTTGGCAATGATTCAATAAAAGATTTCAAATAGACGTATTAATATAAAATTTGATTCGAAATAATGACAATTAATAATTTGAAACAAAAATATTTGCCGGATGATGCTAATATTTTTTTCTCTCAACAATATCTCTCTCTCTCTCTCTCTCTCTCTCTCTCTCTCTCTCTCTCTCTCTCTCTCTCTCTCTCTCTCTCTCAGACCTATATTTTTTTTTAAAACGATATGTAGTTACGCACTTGCGTACTTGCAAAGACAACTACGCGCCTGTAGAAAGAGGGGACATGGAGGTTCAGTGATCTGGGCCAGCTCACCACTGTGATGAAAAATAAAACATACACATATTTATCCTTCTTTTTTTTATAATTTTCATCGCTTCCAGACACTGAAAATAGTACTATTATAAGGAAGAAATATTTATGCCAGAATGCAAGGGGTCTGGTTTACACGAGAAATAAGTAACCAGAATTCCAGGACCAAGCATAATTTTTATTTCTTCATGATTTTTTCTTCAACAAAATAGAAGAAAAAAAAATATTTCACATATTATTTCTGATGATTATGGAAAGCATCGGCCTGCTCAGCATTCAACTTATCGAAAAAGTTTGTTACTGTCTTTGCATGATTTTTATTCCGCGAAGCGTCATATTTCTTTTAACCAATGAAATTTAAGTAGAGGGAATTCTCATTTACATAACACATCAACTTCCGGCCTCCCTTTTCTAAGTTTTACGGAATCGGTAGCAGTAGACTGAGTTTGAAGCGACATTTTAAGAATTAGAGAGGATTTAATGTGATTTGAGTTGAACTGCCCAAAAGTGGAGGCATAGTTAAAGTAAGTACTTGAGGGAAACGGTTGTATCCGTTAATTTTAAACACATTGTAGACTAAAAATCGAGGCGAAGTAGCTGAATTGAAAAATTCAAGATGGCGACCGTGACGAACCTTGTTATTATTATAGTATGGGGGATTTTTTATTTATGGAAAGAAAGGTTAAAAACGTCAAGTGCCTGTGGTACGACTCGAAATACTATTATGGTATACCAACTTACTGCTGGTTAACAGTGACTAAATATTTGCATAATATATGAGAGCAGAAAGCCGTGCTCGATTTCCTTGCGTTGTTCAAAGGGACATAATCTGAGTTAACAAACTTAATTAAACCGAACTGTGTGTGGGATGGTGGTAGGGTAATTTATTTCAGTGTATTAAACAGAGAAATAAATAAAATTAAATTCGTTGCATTCCATACTTATCACGTGATCACATACTATATATATCCTCACTCATTCATGTTCGATTATCGAGTCTCGCTATAACCTACGGGTATACACGTATATTTAAAAATGAGATAAACATTATGTATTTGATATTTTATGTATGTTTACGATTCTGAATGTATTGATTAATGAAAAATTTATTTATAATAGACTGAATCAATATTATAATTACATAAGGCAATGCAAAATAAAAGGTTATAGCGAGTACCATTCCTAAAATATGAGTTCTTTTCATTACTATCATACTTAGAATATAATTGTTTTATATTCGGACGAACATAGTGAGGGAGAATATAAAACTTACTGAATCACATTGCAGTGCAGCTGCAAATAGGAGGCTCCAAATAGCGTAGCTAGACAAAAGCCTTCATTCTATATTTAGAGGTCGCGTCATCAAGCTAACACTAATGATGTGAGGATCACGTGACCTGGTGTACACATTGCAAAAGCCTTAGGCTAACGACTGCAGGGGGTCAGGGCCCGTATAAGGGCCCCTCCCCCAGCGAGTCCAGGAATGGGAGTCCTTGGAAGCTTCGCAGAAATTAACAACATTAAGAAGTGTTAATTTGAGTTTTAGAATGTGCAGTGTGAAGATAATACAAAACGAAGTATTTTTGAATGATGAAACAAATTTATTGAAATATGTTCTTTCAACAAAGATTTTTTTATTTATTTATTTATCATAAAATGTATTATTTTAATTTTTTTTATTCAAAAAATAATGTGGATGCTTTGGCATCAAGTATACATGGTAAGCCACTGACTAAATTTCAATATGATATAAAAGGATACATTTGAGAAAAAAATAAATATGAGCCTGGTTTTGATATGAAAACTGTAAATAAATATGTATTTTAGCAATAATAGAACATGTACATACTGTTTTTACAGTTTCATCTATGATATGTTTTTTTTTATTCTATTTCTTTAAGCTAGTATACAATATACATTCCCAGGTTTGAAATGATAAGAATATATATTATATATACTTTTCAAATAATCTTGGTTGCGGAAGAAAAC